TTGAACTTCATGCATAGTTTTTTCATAATCTGAGTTTTCCATGAACTTTTGGAAGAATTCATATCATGTAAGACGTAACAAACAAACTAATAACGTAGATCCTGATAATAATGATATGCATGTTATAATCTCTAAGATAAGCACAGAAAGAATTATAAAAGAAGGTACAATGAACAGGCTAATAGGAAACATGGAACAATAATTTTTAAAACTTGATTTTTCTACAAAATAGAACAAAGAAGAAAAAAGAAGAAAGACTAGGTAGGTCACAAAAGAGAACAAATAGCAAGATGGCAGACATAATCTCAGACACATCTGTGCTTTCATTATGTCTGAAGTAAATGACAGTCTTCATACCAAAACTTGACATTAAAGGAAAGTAGAATTGCAGGTCAATCTTTCCGATAAATAAGATGCAAAATATCTGAATCAAAATATTAACAAATCAAATCTAATAATATGTACAAAAATAGATAACTTATCACATGGGTTTATTTCAGGAATATAAGTTTAGTATGACATTTGGAAAGCATAATCAATTTCACCACATTGACAGAATGAGGAAGAAAATGTATATTATTATATAATAAGTTTAGAAAGCACATTTAATAAATTGCAACACACATTCAGGATTTTTAAAACCTATCAAAACAGCAGAAATATAGGAGTCTTCTTTAATCTAATTAAGATTACACACACACACACACACACACACACTACACATAGCTAACATTATCCTTAATTGTGAAATATTGAACACTTCCTCCCTGAGTCAGGGTGAAAACAAAAACGTCTTATACTAGAGGCACTACTTAACATAATAAAGAAAGAAAAATAAACTTTTAATTTATGAAGATTAGAAAACTATGTGTTTAAATTACAAAAGAACTGAGGAACCAGAAGAGTCCACTATCCTCAACAAATAAACTATTAGAATAATAATTGTTAAACAAAGAAACTGAAGTTGAGATCAATATACAAATCTATCGTATTTCTAATGATCAGCAAAACTGACAAAACCTTAGTTAAATTTAAAAAAGAGAGACAGAAGACTCAAATTAACTAAAATTAGAAATAAAAGAGGATACATTGCAACTAATTCCATAGAGATAAAGAGGATTCTAAGAGGCTGCTATGAACAATTATATGCCAACAAGTTGGATACTTCAAAAAAGTAATAAGTTCCTATACATGTACAACCTACCCAGACTGAATCATGACAAAATAGAAAATCGAAACAGACCTAAACTAGAAAGGAGATTGAGTCAGTAATTAAAAACCTCCTAGAAAAAAAAAAAAAAAGCCCTAGCCCAGATGGCTTCATTAGAGAATTCTATCAAATATTTAAAGAATCAACACCAATCCATCCCTAACACTTATAAAAAACTGAACAGAAGGAAACACTTCCAAACTTATTTTATGAGGCCCCAATATCAAAGCCAGACAATGATGCAAGAAAACAAAACTATAGACCAATACTCTTGATGAATACTGATGCAAAAATTCTCAACAGATGCTAGGAAGCCAAATTTAACACACATTAAAAGGCTATGGGATTTACCTGCAGAATGCAAGGATAGTCACAAAAATCAGATAAATGTAATACATGAGGCTCATAAGACCTGAAACTATAAAACTCCTAGAAGAAAACATACAGGAAAATCTTCATAAAATTGAAACGAGCAATGATTCCTTTTATATGATACTAGAAGCACAGGCAACAAAAGCAAAAACAGATATATGGGACTACATCAAACTTTAAAACTTCTGTTCAGCAGAGGAAATCATCAACGGAATCAAAAGACAACCTATGGAGTGGGAGAAAATATTTGCAAACCATACATCAGATAAGGGGTTAATATCTAGAACATACTGAAAATTCCTACAACTCAATAACGACAGAAAAACAAATAACTCAATTTAAAAATTGACAGGTGTGGTGGCTCACACCTGTAATCCCAGCATTTTGGGAGGCCGAGGTTGGGGGATCACCCGAGGTCAGGAGTTCAAGACCAGTCTGCCCAACATGATGAAACCCCATCTCTACTAACAGAAATTAGCCAGGCATGGTGGTGGGTGCCTGTAATTCCAGCCACTTGGGAGGCTGAGACAGGAGAATTCCTTGAACCCGGGAGGTGGAGGTTGCAGTGAGCCAAGATCGAGCTACTGCACTCCAGCCTGGGTGACAGAGCAAGACTCTGTCTCAAAAAAAAAAAAAAGAAAGGATAAAGGCCATGAACAGATATTTCCCCAAAGAAGATCAGTGAATGGCCAGTAGGCATGTGAAAATATCCTCAACATAACTAATCATCAGAGAAATATAAATCAAAACTACAATGAGATACCACCTTGCACCTGTTAGGATGGTCGTTATAAAAAAAAGAAGTGGTGGTGAAGATGTGAGGATTGAAACCCTTGTGCACTTTTAGTGGGACTGTAAAATGATGCCAAACTTTAAAAATAAAAAAATAGAAGTACCAGATATAGATCCAAAAGAAATGAAAACAGCATCTTTGCACACTCCTGTTGATTGCATTATTTATAATAGCCAAGATAAGCAAGTAACCTAAATTTATCGATAGATGAATGAATAAGAAAATATAGTATATACTGAACGGAATATTATTTAGCCTTTAAAAAGGAGGAAGTCCTGTCATATGTTACAACATGGATACATCTTGAGGACATTATGTGAAGTGAAATAAACCAATTGCAAAAAAAAAAAGACAAATACTGCATTGTATCACTTATATGATATAGCTATAGTAATCAATCTCATAGAAACAGAAAGTGGAATGGTGGTTGCCAGGGACTGCGGGAGGGAGAAATGAAGAATTGTTGTTCAGTGGGTATAGCGTTTCACCCATGCAATATGAAGAAGTTCTAGATATCTGTTATACCATTTACAATATTCTACTGTACATCTAAAAATTGTTGAGGGTAAAAAAATGTACTGGTTAATAAAATCCAAGCCTGGAACACTATACTTTGCACTATAATACTCTCTCTTGTTAGATTAGCAGAGGAAAAGATCCATAAACATCACAAAAGCAAAGAAAGGCAGGAAGCCTTCAACTGATGGTCAGATGAAGTGGGCTGGGTTTGATAGCTATTTCTTTCTACATCTGGAATTTTAGCTTTAAAAAGTGTTAATAAAATTGTAAAGTATAATAACTCACTATATTCCTATGCACTAAGAACAATCAAGAAATTTTAAAATTATGCAATTTACATCAGCATCAAAAAATCAAATATCCAAGAAGGAATCTCATGAAAGATGTACTAGACTTTTTTTGTTGTTTTTTTCAGATTAAGTCTTGCTCTGTCACCCATACTGGAGTATGGTGGTGCAATATCTGCTCAATGCACCCTCTGCCTCCCAGGGTTCAAGCAATTCTCCTGCCTTAGCCTCCCAAGTAGCTGGGATTACAAGCATGCACCATCACACCCAGCTAATTTTTGTATTTTTAGTAGAGACAGGGTTTCACCATGTTGTCCAGGCTGGTCTGGAACTCCTGACCTCAAGTGATCCACCCACATTGGCCTCCCAAAGTTCTGAGATTACAGGTATAAGCCACTGCAGCTGGCCAATGTACAGGACTTCTACACAGAAACCTACAAGACATTACTAAGAAAAATTAAAGAATATAAATAAGTGGAGGTACATACTATGTTCATGGATAGGAAAATTTAATATTTTAAGGATATTAGTTCCCTCCAAATTGAAATAAGTATTAATAAAATCCAAAATTTCAAAGAAAAAATATCCCCAGCAAGATTTTCTTTGGTGGAAATTGATGAGGTAGTTCTAAAATTTATGTAGAAATACAAAGGACTGAAAATAGTTTAGAAAATTTTGAAGAAGAATGTCAAGATTTATTAAGTAATTTAGAAAGTGTGGCATTGTTGCAAGGAAAAGTAAACTAACCAATAGAAAAGAATAGAAACAATAGGGATAAACTCATGTATTCAACCACTTGATTTTCAGTAATTCACCAGTGCAAGCCAGTAGACAGAAAACATGATATTTTTCTTAAATGATGGTAGATTAATTGAATATTGATATGGAAAAAATAAACCTTGACCCCTGACTTACACCATACAGAAAAATAACTACAGATAGACTGTAGACCTAAATTTGGAAGGTAAAACAACATATTATCTAGAAAAAAAATCAGATAATATTTTTATCACCTTATTGCAGCTAACACTTCTTAACACACTGAAAGCTCTGGCCATAAAGAAAGACTGATAAGCTTCATTAAAATTAAGAATTTTTGTTACTCCAAAGTTTCCATTAAGAAAATTAAAAAGAAACTGAAAGGGGAAGAGGGAAAGAATTATATATATATATATAATATTTATTATAAATTTACATATATATCTAAATTTATATGTAAAATATAAATATACAATGTTTTTCTTATAAAAATAAATCTATATATATATACACACGTAGAGAGAGAGAGAGAGATAAACACAAACGTTCTGGCAAGTGTGTAAATTGACACAACCACTATGGAAAATTTCTGCTAAGCAGAGACTCAACATTTCTGTTTCCAAGTTATATAACCAAAGAGAAATGCAACCGTATGTGCACAAGCAGACATGTACCAGCCTGTTCATAGCAGCATTATTTACAACCTCCCTACACTGGAAAGAACCCAAGTTCTTGGTTTCCCTGTATCTTTTTTCTGTCACATGATTGAGTAATGGGGTCCGTCTAGTTCCTCAAGTCTGCCATTCTCTCCAATGGGACCCAGGTGGGGACATGGGGCTGAAAGTGAAAGGTGGGGAGTGTGGTAAAAGTAAAATGACCCTCTTTCCCATAGGGATCACAAAGAAATGAAGTGCGTGAAGAGGGACTCCCCAGAAGTGCCAGGAACAGGAGCCAACAGGTCACCAGAAGAGGAAGTGTTAAGGCCGAGGGACTTCCCGAGGGGGAACACAGAAGAAAGAATGCCTAAGGTTATCCCGGGTCTGCAAGGACTTCTGCCTACCTGCTCTCCTGCTGGTCCTCCTCTCTGACCTTCCTGCTATAGCTATAGAGCTGTGATTCCACCAACTCCATTCTCACTCCAACCATGTCATTCCATGGCTCTCTGTTGTCCACAAGAGAAAACTTCAAATTCCTTGTCTGGTATTCAAAGCATTTCAGGATCTAGCTCCCAGTATTCATCCTGGGTCAGGCTCATCAGACCACTGACAGCCTCACCAACATGACCGATTCACTTGGTTTCTACACCTGTGCACATGCTGTTTTAGCCACTGGAACTCTCTGCCCTTTTTGGCTATCAGCCTCCTACTCAGTCTTCAAAATTCCATTCAAATGGCAGCTCCTCTGTCAATCTTTGACCTCTCCAAAGAGCATGAGTCACTCCTTCCTCTGGGGTCCACCCTCCACATAGCACACAGCTCACGGTGTTTTCATCTGCATTCTGGGCACCATCTAGGCAGGAACAGTATGTCTGTTGGTTACCGCTAAATCCCCAGTGACTAACCAGTGTCTAACACACAGTGGGTGCTCAAAACATTTGCTACACGAGTGACTAAATGAAAGAAAATGCTTTCTGTGGGAACGACTTGTGAACAAACATTACCCTCAGTGTTAAAACCTATGTAGACTTGTAGACTGTACACTCCTAGGTTAAATTTTACCCTTTTTGACGGCTTTTTCTGGAGGTCAGGGGATTGAGAGCCTTGTGTATTTGGTGAGGATAAAGGTTTTGTTGTTGTTGTGCTTTGTTTTTGTTTTTGTTTTCGAGATGGGGTCTTGTTCTGTTGCACAGACTAGAGTGCCGTGATGCGATCTCAGCTCACTGCAACCTCCACCTCCTGGGTTCAAGTGAGTCTCCTACCTTAGCCTCCCATATAACTGGATTACAGGCTTGGGACACCACGCCTGGCTAATTTTGTATTTTTAGTAGAGACAGGGTTTCACCATGTTGCTCAGGCTGGTCACGAACTCCTGACCTTAGGTGATCTGCCCGCCTCTGCCTCCCAAAATGCTGGAATTACAGGTGTGAGGCAATGCTCCCGGCTGAGGATAAAAGTTTTAATGCTTCAACCTTTTTTTCCTATGCCAGGGCCTTTGCACACGCCATTCCCTCTGCCTAGAATGCTTTTTCCCCAGCCTCCTTTCTCATCCTCAGGTTTCAGGTTCTGTGTTGCCTCTCCAAAGAGGCCATCCCCCGTCTGAACTGGGTCTACGCCAGTAGATCTCTGTACCCACATCCCCTAGTTTGTCTCCTTCATAGCAAATGTAATATGAGCAATAGTTTTGTAAATGTCTCTATGTATGTGTTTATAATTTGTTTCTGTACTGAAGCATAAGCTCCCAGAGGTTGGGTAATTGACCTGCTTTGTTCAGCACAGTAGCCCTAGTGCAGAGAAGGGGACCCGGAACACAGTAGTTGCTCAATAAGTAGCTGAAGGGGGCTGAAGAACAATGGTGAATGAATAAATGAAAATGAATGAATGAATGAATGGGGCTAAGGATTGAGGCAGCCCCTGAGAGGTCCTGATTTCCTCATCAGCTTCCTCACTCTCCCCCACAACCCCACCTCAGGCAACACCCTCCTTTCCAGGAGTGTGAATAATCACGACTAATGTCATCAGATTAGTAAAAAAGAACTTTCAAAGAAGGACAGTGGGCTGCCCAGGGTCACACAGCGAGCTCTCATCTCAATGAGTTCTCCGGCTGGGGAAGAACCAGCCAGGTGCTCCTGGATCGGAAGACTATCACTCACCCACAGTGGGAACTCGGCTGTATCTCTGCCTTTCTCTGAGCCTCAGCTTTCCTCATCTGTGGAATGGGGGCAGCAGGCTTAGCCTGGCTGAGAAGTGTGAGGCAGGGAAGCGTGGTTAGAGTTAGGGGTGTGGTTAGGGTTAGTTGCTTTTATCTTTTTTTTTTTTTGTGCCAATGGCAAGGGGTAGGTTATGGGTGTCTGAAGACAGGTATGTTGGGGACCTCAGGCTTACCGCTTAATCAGTAGAAGCTGAAGGTGAGAGGAAGGGCCTTCCCCCTCCCCAGCTCATGCAAGCTTTGAGGCTGTGTGACCTCTCAGCCTATCTCTCTCTGCTTGCCAGGCAGTAAATATTAGCTCCAGCAATCTTTCCCTCCTGGCACTTCTTCCAGCCTGTGCAACCTCTCCTAGCTGAGGAGCACGAAATCCCAGTCCCAGCCCCTGCAGTCCCCACTCCCCATGTCTGCTGCCTGTGCAATCTCGATCTCCCTGCAAGCCCTGTCATCCCGTGCAGCCTTGCCCAAACCTTGCAACCTCTCAGCCTCTGCAGCCAGATCTCACTCCAGCTCCCTTTCCTCCAGCCCAGGAGGGGCTGGGTGTAGAGCAGCGGAAGGGGGCTTTGATGTGTGACAGCTAGAGGCCATGAGGTGGGGGCGGGGCTGGCCACCCACCCTCTCTCACCCCTCAGTTCCCAGCAGCCCTGTCCACCTGCCCTGGCCCTGGCCATAAAGGACTGGTGTTACTGATTCATTCTGGGGAAAGCTGGCAAGCCCTCGTCCTAGTCAAGCCCACTTGGCAGATGAAGAAAAGAAGGCCCAGAAAGGCATAGGGCCTTGTCATGTTCACACAGCGAGTGACAGCCTAGGCCTGAGCTGGGAGCTGGGTTGGGGCACTTGCCCCACTTCCCTAGGGACAGTTCGGGGTGAGGGGTGGAGGTGGCCAGATCCTTCCTGGGGGCTGCAGAGACCAGCAGTCTGGGTTCCAGACACAGATGTCCTGGGCAGTCGGAGGCCCTCCATGGGGCCCCTGACCCCCAGCCTGGGGAATATTCTCAGGTTGGTACAGAAGTTCCAAATTTACTCAGAGGTCTCATTTGAGCTGTCATGAAAAGTCCCTTTGGCCTGGGGCCAGGGCAGAGAGCGGGGGTGGTGGCACCTGCGAGCCAGGGGTGGGGGTGAGTTCCTCCCATTGCCCCTCCCCCTCCCCCTCACTTGTCCCAGGACTCTAGAGGGCAAGTAAGGAGGGCATGTGAGGAAGAGGAGCGAGGGCAGGAAGACCCTCTTTCTGGAGGAAGCACCTGTTCCTCTCTCTTCACTGCTTCCTTCTAGACAGTTCCCTGAGTGACCCTAGAAAATCCCCACCCGCTCTGCACCTCAGTTTCCCCATCTGTAAAAGGGGAAAGCAGAATCATCATAAGAGCTCTCATTTATTGAGGTCTGGTATATGCTAATATGTCCGATATTTATGATTTTTATTTTGTTAACTGTATTTTCATAGCTAAAAGCAAAGAGCTTTTAAATATTTAAAGTAAAACATAGGCCAGTAACAGTGGCTCATGCCTGTAATTCCAGCACTTTGGGACGATGAGGTGGGCAAATCACTTGATCCCAGGACCAGCCTGACCAACATGGTGAAACCTCATCTCTACTAAAAATACAAAAATTAGCCGGGTGTGGTGGCGGGTGCCTGTAGTCCCAGCTACTCTGGAGGCTGAGGCAGGAGAATTGCTTGAATCTGGGAGGTGGAGGCCCCTCACTCTTTCACCCTACTTCAGCCTGGGTGAAAGAGTGAGACTCTGTCTCAAAAATTTTTTTTTGAAAAAGTAGAACATAATAGCAGCCACTTCTCACGGGCCATCTGTGCCCAGCTCTTTTGCCTTCGTCGTTGCACTGGCTTTTTCTCTCTTTGCACCCCGGAGCTTCAGGACCTGCGGAGGTGCCTGGACCTTTGCAGATATTCAACAAGAACAGGCCGATGAAGACCTGTGCCTGTCCCCATGGAAACAGACCTAAGACAGTCGTCCTTACTCCTAGTCCCACTCTTACAGGTACAGCAACTGAGCTTCAGAGAGGGCAAGTGGCTTCCGCAAGGTCACACAGGTACTAAGTGGTGGAGCTGGGACTTGAACCCAGCTCTGACCAGTTCCACAGCTCAAAGTCACAAGGGGTGGTGTGCTTGGAAGTCAGGTCCAGTGCCCCCACCTGACCATGGGGACCCCTTCCCTGTTGTGTAAAGAAGGGCCCTGTGTCTGCCTGTGAGGATGCTGAAGGCGCTAGCTCCCCTCTCTGGCTGTGGAAGGAACGGATACCCCTCCTTTCTTTCATTCATTTATTTATCAGGCTCCCAGGAGGTCCTAATGCTGCAAAGAAGGAGGTTCTTCCCAGAGCTTCTGGTGACCGGCTTTTTCTTGAATAGGCCTCCTCCTTCGGCATCCACCACCAACTCTGCTGCCCACAAGCCCCTACAGGCTCTACCCCCTGCCTCCCTGCTCCTTCTCCTGGCCTGAAGCCAGCATCGCTGGGCAGCAGGGAGCCTGCAGTCTGAGCTCAGGACTGTCTTTGTCTTGCTCTCCCACCTCTCCTGGGCCTGGATTCTGGCCACCTCCTATCACAAGGGCTCTTAGCTACCTCCACGGCGGGACTGTGTAAGGATCCGGACAGCCTGCTGGCAGTGGAGCAGGCAAGGTAGGGGCATTGCGGAACCCACAGTGGGGAGTGGGGGAGCAGGACCTCTCCCCTGGGGGCTGCCTGTCCCGTGGGAATGAATGCCCAGCCATCCCCATCCAATGCTGCTTCTCAGAAGCCACCCAGAACCATCAGTCTTGTTTACATGCTATTCTATCTAGCAGGTGGTGGCCTTCTTGTCCTACAGACTGGCATCCGATCCCAGCTCCATGTCATCCAATCACAGTTAACCTGGGGCAAGGTTGTCCCCACTAAGCCTCACTCTCCTTATCTGTGAAATGGGCTGAATGACGCTACCCACTTCACCTGGTGAGGACTATGGGAGACCCTTAAGTGCCTACATGGTGAGTTGGCACTGGGGGGGACAAGAGCCAGGTGGCTGGGGTAGGCGGGACCACAGCAGCCTGGGGGTGTCCCTCAATATGTCCCTCTTGGAGTCTGGCCCTTCCCCATGGGCTCAAGGCTCCTCATGCCACAAACTCCCTTCCCCAAAGGAAAAGGGCCAACTGGGAGCTCAGCTCTCACCCTGTTCTGCCCTGAAGACCCCACAGCCAGCCCCACAAGGGTGGAGCTACCTTGGTCCCCATTTCACAGGTAAGAAAACCAAGCCTTCTCGAGGCTGGAAGCAGAGAGACTTGCCCAACTTCGCTGAGTGAGAAAGGCGCATGGCCGGGTTGTGACCTGGCAGGTTTTCCCCCCACTCCGCCATGTGCTTCTGAAAGTCCCACTCTCCCCCCAGGGAGGCACAGATGTCCTCTCCACAGCGGCCTCCTGGTTTTGAAGCCTCCACACCTGGCCTTCTGCCTTCACTGAGCAGAGACGTCTTTCCGGCTGCAAGTCCTAAGTTCCCGCTCCCCAGGGCTCCTCCACCAGGAAAGTTTCCTCCTTTCCCATCCTTCGGGGCTCAGCCTCCACTGACCTCCCCACGCCCCTCTCCTCCACATGCACACTGGGTTAGCCTCTTACCATCTGATCCGTTCCCCGTGCTTCATGAGAAAGATCCAGCGACAGCTCATGGGGTTACCTGGTTTGACTGCCCACCCTGCTACAGCCCGGTTGAGTACCCAGGGGAAAATCACTCTACCTCTCGCAGCCTCATTTGCTCATCTGTGAAATGGGCACAGCAGCCCTTGTTTTGAAGGACTGGGTGAAATCAAGATGGTAAAACACAGAAACTGGCACAGAATGGGTCCCATCAGGCTCTGCACCCAAGCCCATCACCACCCGACTCAGCTGCCCAGAATCAGGTGATTGACATACTGTTTGGCCCGAAACTGGCTCTCCTTCCCCTACCCCCTGCCTTTTGGAGGCCAGTTTTCAAGACAGGGGGTCATCTCAGCCACACCCCTGCAGCTAGGCCCCCGGCATCCTAAGCTGTGCTGAACAGGAGACCCCAGCCTCAATTCTGCCCAGCCTCACTGCATGAACTTTCTTTGCCTCAGTGTCCCCAATTGTGCCTTGGGCGTGTCTTCCAAGGCCTCCCACCGTGATGCTAGATGCAGCAGGCAGGGAACTGTCCCTCCTGGGCAGAGAAGGCACCCTGGTCCCAGCGGAGAACCAGGGCTGGAATTACCTTCTGTTTCAGCGTCCTTCTCACAAGTCCATTCCGTGTGCTGGGGGCAATCTGACGGACTTCTCGGGGTGGCAGCTGGGTTCAGCGTAGGGGTGACAGATGAGGGTCTGAGAAAGCAGGCAGGGGCCGGGGGTGAGAATCCACACCCAGCCCGAGTCACCAATCAGGCTGTCATAAGACCTGTCGCTCCGATGACGGGCAGCTGGGCCTCCAGGCAGGTGTCCCACAGAGCAGCAGACAGAGGAAGGAGACGGGAAGCAGGTACTAGGCGGCCTCGGCAGGGATGCACGACACAGCTGCGTGACTGTCAACCACACTCAGGGAGAGGCAGGCAGATGGTCAGACGCCGAACTTATGGTCACTCAGCAGAGAGACGCCAGTGGGTCTGTTCGAGGCCACTGGCTGCCACCCAGCCGCGTGTGCAGAGTGGGGAGGAAGAGGAGGATGTGGTGAGCTGCTCTCTGCCGGCCCCGCCCACCCCGCCCACCCGCAGCTGGGCCCTTGGGGAGGGAGTGAGAAGGAGATGGGGGGGGGGTCCTGGCCCCACAGCAGGCACCCGCTGTCACCAAAGGTCACCTGCAAAGAAGACATTTGGGGCCATCGGGTGACACTTGCCTCTTGGAGACCTGTGACCTCATCCCCCCAGGCTTCTCCGTCATGACTCATGAGGCAGGCAGAGCCTCCTGGAGCCACCACATAGCGCAGATGTGGAAACCGAGATCAGAGGGGTGAAGAGGTGGCACAGTTTGGCCTGTGGACCCAGAGTCCTCAGTGGCCGAATCCAACCCCTCAGCACAGAGAGAAGAACCAGAGCCTTGCCCCAGGTCCCACAGATGTCCTTTTCCAGACTTTGCAAACCAGTCTATTTCTCATTCCCGAGCCTCTTCTGCCTAGTGGTGGGCTGAGCTTGGGACCCTCTGCTCTGGCTTGACCCCCATCCCTCTCTGTCTCCATTTCCTTTGGATCCAGCCTCCTGCTGCAGAGCGCCAGGGAGCAAGACCCCTTGGGCATGTCACATCATCTCTCAGTCCCTCACTTTGCCCATCTGTCAAATGGGAGTGCTAGCTATGAAGAAGAAAGCAGTCATCAACCCATGGAAACGCAAGAAGAAAATAGAGAAAAGAAATTCTCAAGAGTTTTTTCATCTTGCTAACAAGCCAGAAGAACATGAGAGGGTTGGATGTTTCTGGAAGACATTTAAGAAGCCAGGGGACAAAACTGAACAAGCTCAATGCCTAGCAGTTCCAAAAGAAAGAAAGCAAGAGAATTGCTACCACCACCACCGCCACCACTGCCATCACCGCCATCCTGAATTACTTCGGTGCCTACATGATCTTACCTTATCCCACAAAGTGTGGGGCAGACAAAATTCATCCCATTTTACAGATGGAGAGACTGAGGCCCAGAGGAGTGAAACATCACACAAGCCAAGAATTAGAGCTGGGATTTGAACCTGGTTGTAATTGATTCCTAAGCTCATATCAAGCTGTGAAAATAGTGCCATACCAGGATGAAATGTCCCATGGTGGGGGGAGGCCATTTTGTGCTGTTTTGATAACAAGGTCAGCTTGTTGAGAGCAACTTCTGACAAGTGTGATGTGTCATATTGTTTGCTGAGAGCAGCAGCAAGGAAAACCTAGTCAGCCCCAAAACAGACAATTGCTCAAAGCGTTATAAAACAGTAACCAATATGAGTATGTCTCACACCAGATGAATTAGTTCTTTAAACATAGGATATGCGACTCTTTCCTTTGTTCCCTCGTAGAGAGCGCTTTAGTGAATACACACTAGCTGCCTGCTTAGTTTACCTTTGACCAATGAAGAACACAGAGCATCTGCTTGTAAAACTTGTCACTGGAAAGTAAAGAATAAATACAGGGGTCAGAGTGTGCTTTGGGCTCTCAGCTGGGAATGCTGTGAGACCCCGATAACCCACCTTTTACTTTATATCTCTGTGTCTGTTTCTTAATTCCTTCAGTGCCGCCTGGGTTGGGGTCTCCATGGTTGAGCTAGTCTTGGCATCAGCTCAGATGCACTTGGTAGCTCTCCCAGCTGACTCATTTTTGGGAATTAGCTTGCTGCTGACCTTCATGACAGCTCCACAGAAAAAAGAGAAAGCGCCTTGCTATTCTTTATTGTTTTTTTCTAGCTGTTTTTGAGGAACTTGGTACAA